TCATGCTACGGCTTGCTTATTCCAACAGATAAATGTTTAGTATTTTGGGGCATATACTTAATTTGTGCTTATAAGGCTGTTTTGCAGTGTTAAAAATAGTATGTTTTACTGTAGTAAGGGCATGAAATCTTTTAATGGAAACTTGGATGAAATAAACGTAGGGAAAAGGCCCAAACACTAGTTCCCCAAATTTGTGTGGGACAAGAAACAGTAGATAAAAAAAGTCCTTTATGAGCTCCAAGATAGGGGAGAATCAAAATAGTTAATGGAACCGCATTCACTTTAACAAGAAGGCTTCAAAACAACACCAGTTTTCAGTAAGTTCAGTTTATGGGTCCACATTTCAAGAAATCAAGAGTCACGAGAACTCACTTCTCATATTGGAGATGAGAATATCCTGCTTCGGGCCACTGTCCCTTAACCGGTTTGCTTTTGTTAGATATATTGATAGGACACAAGGCTGTAACAAGCGGCTTCCTTGGGCAGCACTAGGGGTGTTCTGATAAAAAAATGACTGTGGGGCAATCATCTGTTTTTTTAAAAAGTCCTTTCTCATCATTTTCAAAATTAGACATTTCCATTCTTTCACTTCATAGTACCTTCTAACGTGCAATTATTTAGTTTTACGAAGTGTTGACATGGGCAATAAATACAAAGTGCTCTGTATATGGAATATACATATGGAATACGGCATTTTAAAAGTCTAAACTGAATCAAAAATGAATAATATATTCATATACAGTGCATTTAATTTTGGTAAGAAGTACTGTTGTGGTTTGAACCCCAGCCAGGAAAAAACACCACACAGCCAGTCACCCCCCAGCCCCCTCGGTGGGATGGTGGAGAGAACCGGAAGAGTAAAAGTGAGAAAACTTGTGGGTTCAGATAATGACAGTTGAATAGGTAAAGCAAAAGCCACACATGCAAGCAAAGCAAAATAAGGAATTCATTCCCTGCTTCCCATCAGCGGGAAGGTGTTCAGCCATCTCCAGGAAAGCAGTAACTCCAAACATTACACACACCCTCCCACATACACACGCAACCCCCCCTCCTTTTTCCCCCAGGTTTATATAGTGACCATGGTGTCATATGGTCTGCAATATCAAATATCCCTTTGATCAGTTGGGGTCAGCTGTCCCAGCTCTGTCCCCTTCCAACTTCTTGTGCACCCCCAGTATACTCACTGGTGGGGTGGTGTGAGGAGCAGAAAAGGTCTTGACTCTGTGTAAGCACTGCTTGGAAATAACTAAAACATCCCTGTGTTGTTAACACTGTTTCCAGCACAAATCCAAGACATAGCCCCATAGTAGCTACTATGAAGAAAATTACTCCAGCCAAAACTGGTACAAGTGCAAAAGTTTATTATTTAATATTTATATTCCACTGATGCTCAGAGACCTGTCAGGATTGAAGTGATATTTGTACCATATAATTATGGTCCTTGCCCCTGTAAAACCTAGAGATGTCTTTCACTTTTCATATATGACAAGTCTGAAAATACATCTAAGTGGATAGGTGACCTTAACAGACTTTATCTCAACTAAGCCTTCTGTTTTTAATTTCTCGTGGTCTGTTCTGTTATGTGTAGGTTCATTAGACATGCTATGTGACTCACATCTTCCACAATTAATTCTCACGTATAATTAGATGCAATTCTGACAAGGACTCTGTTGTTTTCTATAGTTTCATAGAAAGGTCTTTTCCTCCTTCTTTTGGCACCAATCATTAAAAACGTTGCACCATGTTCAGCTGGTGACTGCGACTGAGAATAATTTACAGCCATGAAAACATTGGTCATGTGTCATTAGCTCCACCTCTTGGATTAATTTGGTTTTTACAGATACAGTAGTTCATAGGGGAATCCTCTCTGGAAATGTAAAAAGTCCTGAGGCAATGTCCTAGTGAAAGCATCTGGCTCAATTGCTCTATCCTGTAAGCTTAATGTTCAGTGCTTGATTACCAGTAAAGTTTAATTACAAATTATTTTACTAATAATTTGGGTTACATTGTCCTCTAGTGGCGTATACAGATAACTGCCCTGCTGACAGACTTCTTTTGCTTTGTGTTTAAAATCCTCTCATACTGCTTTCATACAAGCCCAAGTCACCTCAGAAAAGGTCTGATGCAATGGCCAAATAAAAAGTTTGCGTCTTAACTGCCACTGTATCCGTACAAGATCTATCGTCTATGAATGCTTATGGTTTGCTTAAGAAATAAATTTTTTAAAATAGTTGAAAATAGCAATAGGGAGTTGTGAGAAGCTACTGTATTTAATCAGAGCATTTGATGGAAACAAATATATCCCACTTACTGACAGTAATAAAAAAAACCTCAGCGTGTTTTTTTTTTTTTAGTAGGTTGAAGACTGGTTTACTTCCACAAAATGCACAGAGATCTCATATGAAGGAAAACAGAACAGCCCTCCAGTGTGTCCTGTGGCTACTCAGTCATAAACCTCAGTAATGCCAGGCTTTTGCCTGTCACGTGGCAGCATCACCTTCCATAGGAAGCACTAGAGCGCTTTGCAGCTGGATGCTGGCAAAATAGCAGGAGGGGTCTGGGAGCGTGGAGAATAATGCCAGGGTGTTTGCAGTGCCAAAATGCACATTTTACCTTGCTTTAAAAAGGTGATACTGTATTCTCTAATGCGCTGAGATTGTTTTGCCTTGTGGCAGAGCAGCAGGATCGCTTCCAGCGGAGGTCTTGGCCCTGATGGCAGGCGCGGCGTGGGGGATACTCCGGCTGGCGAGTCTTCCCTTCTCCTACTCCTTCCTTGACTAAATGCCATGAGTATTGAGGAGTCAACGCTGGTCAGCAGAGATAGTTTCTGTGTGTGTAAGAGGAGGAGGAGGAGAAGTGCTATAAATGCTTCTCTCTATACCTCTGAGATTGTGTAGGTGAAGGAGCAGTTAAAAGTGGCGAAGGAATGTGGTTTCTCTCTTCTTAAAGAAATGGTGGTACACTCAAGTAAGATGATAGTTCACTTTTTCTTTTGCTGTTTGCAGTAATAGGAAAGGTACAGGAGTACTCTGACCTTAGGGAGTTACTATCAGAGGCTTTTTCAATGCAGCATGCCTTGTAGTCTTTCAGGGAAACAATATACCAGGATTCAGTAAAAATTTTTTGCTCAGGTCCTCCATCTCTGGCCACCTTTTTCTTCCTCCCTCTTTGGAGAGGCCTTTCTTTCAACCAGAGGTGCAACTGTGTGCTTTGGATGGATGTCAGTCGATTCCTGTTCATTCCCTGGGCTGATCTTCCTCCAAACACCAGGAGAATTGTAGAGTAACTTAATTAGACTTGACACAGCGGAGCCGTGTGTTTGGTGCTCACGTACTGCCTCAGACCTATACTCACACTTAGCAAGCGTCAATAACCGCCACAGCTGACAGAAACAAAACATATAAAGGCAGTCCTGAGGTATAGAATGCCTTCAGCTCATGAAATCATCTGTGGTGCCATTCTTACAGTTCACTCAGAGGTTTATTAGGGTGCAGGAATATTTGCTGAGAGTTACTTTCATGCAGTGCTCTGTGGCTCTTCTGCCACTGGGGATCTTTTAAACCAAAGGCGTGCCTTCAGTTAAGAAGTCATGTAGGATCTTTATTTCTTCTTAAGTAGCTGCCAGGAGGGGGGAAGGTGATGGTTTTTGTTTTTCTTTTACAAAAAGTCTTCATTTTATAAAGTGTTTTTGTAACTCTTGCATCAATATTACCTTTTTTTTTTTCATGTTTTGCAATGTTATTTTCCAGGGGTTTATAACTGTTTATTTAACCTAGGTGCTATGCAAAGTTCTGTTTATCCTCAGTTCAGAATGCGTGGTTTTATCTTTTATGTACTAAGGAGTGAGTTGTACAGATTGGTCTATAGTCAGCTCGCTGACTATAATTTCTGCTGTAATGATTTTTTTTTTTAAACATTTGACCTCTCTGGGTAGCGATCAGGCCAGTGATTGCCCTCCTGCCACACTGAAATCTTTTATAGAAACCCATTACTGCTTCTCAGGTGTGCTCTTCCTGACACCCCAGCAGCGAAGGGGCTCTGCCCCATCATTAAGGTCGGAGTAGTGCTTCCCTCCAGCAGCTGCTGAGGCAATGCTCAGGTTCCTCCTGCAGGCAAGGAGAAGATGTGAACGATTATGCCTATTCCTATTAATCAGGGGAAATGCAGGCTTCTCCTCAAAGCAGAGGGGGAGGTTGCTCCTACCAACTGTGTTGGTCACTGTTCTCTTCCAGCTGTGTGTTAACTCCATCTTCCCATAGTGTGTTTTACATCAGGGTTATGCCAATGGTTCTTTCCAAAATAACCTGATACTTCATGTAAAGCTCAATCAGAGCTGGAATCCAATGGAAGCAATTTTTGGTGAAACCGATCCCTCGTGGGACAGCCTCTCATCAGGCTGTCTGGGAGCCACGTATGCTAATGGAAAAAATAAAGTGGTGACCTTGTGTGCTCTCAGTCTCGCAGGGTGTCATCCTGCTCAGCACAGCAATGCCTTTCTCAGGTTTTGACGAGCACCTAACAGCCTGGCAGGTCCCCCCTGCCTACTTTGTGCCTCTCTGATGTCTGCAGATACAAACACACCTTGCGCAATAACAGATGTCTTTACAGAACAGATGCCGTTACTCATTGCTTTTCTGTACGAATGTAGAAGGCATCCTTCAGTGGAAAACAGGTGGTAATTTTATTTAAATCCAACTGTATCGTAGAGCATTAAAACCGCTGAAATGATAATGCCTTGCCAGGTTTTCCATTTCAATAAGCATCTAATCTTGAAACTGTCTTAATCAACCTTGCTTATTAGATGTTCTTATTTCTGCGTTGTGAGCACACACCTGAATTTACTGCTTGGCCTCGGATTAAAAGGTGATGCTGTTTTGAATCGCACTGTTAAATCATTTCAATTTGAGGATTAATTTTTTGTTTGGCCTTTTCTAGAGGTGATGTTCGTCATTTAAGTGGCTGTGCATGAATGGTAATGTACTTGTGTTTTCTCTCATCAGAATAATGAAATGGTGGAACTACAGAGGATACGAATGAAAGATGAAATTCGAGAGTACAAGTTTCGAGAGGCGAGACTCCTACAGGACTACACCGAGCTGGAAGAAGAAAACATCACTTTACAGAAACTGGTGTCTACACTGAAACAGAATCAAGTAAGCATCGAAAGATTCAAGGCGCTATGCTGAAAAAAGACACCATTTTCTCCAATTTCCCATAATGTGATCCCCCAGAGCACTTCGATAGATGTTTCTTTCTATGTTTTTTCAGTCATGTTTTTGCTAAAAACTTAGTCTGAAACCAGTGTTATTGGCCATTCTTGACATATGGGGATGCCCTTACCTCAGTTTTAGGAAAATCATGGTGGGATATTTTGTTGCAGTACTTTGTAATAGTGGAGGAATTATGAAAATAGATAGAATGTCATCTTTTCACTTTCTGCTTTTCCTCTCCTCCCTCCCTGTATGCTGAACTCGGTGCCCAGCAGCAGAGCTCAGCCCTCCATTTCTTCTCACTTGCTTTCCTGCACATCCTTTCCTCTTCTGAAACGGAGAAAATAGAAAATAATCTTTTCCCTGTTCTCCTGTTTTGTTTTTTTTCCTGCTCCTCTGGTTGTCCTGTACCAGTTTTGGTCTCTTCTCAGCCATGCTGAGCCACAAGTTTAGCAAGCTTCAAAAATAGGCGAAGGGACGTCAGATGTTCCTAGTTTGTTTTTTGTTTTCCTCATTACAGTAATTTGCAGCCAATGGCACACCGACACACAGTAATTCTCACTGCAGTGCAGAATGCACCCCGAGGAACCACCATAAACAGCAGCCCCATTGCATCCAGATGGAAGCAGCTATGGGGGCTGTTCTTTCCCCCTTACAAAAGCACAGCTTCCTTTGCTGCTGGATATATATACTGCTGAGGAAGCAATCAAGAACACAGTTGTCCTTTACATTGAACAAAGGAGGTTTGTTCTCACATCAGAAGAGTTAACTTGCCATGATCAATTTTTAAGTATCCAAGTTGTAATACTTTCTGCTTTTTAAACACTGTCCAGACCAGCATAACATGGCATACCATAACACCATTTCCTTAACTGGTAGCAGATGATAACAGCGCTGCGTTGCAGCCCCTGGTTTATATCCTAACCTACTGCCTGGTTCAGTCAGGGCTTTTATCACATAGCCAAGACTGTCACAGTCTCTAATGGCAGCCTGGTAACAAAGCTGCCTTATTCCTGCAGGAATAAGCAGTACTATTTCAGCTTTTTCTTACTGCTATTTTACTGCTCCAACACAAATGCAATTGAAACATTTAAAATAACAGAGCTGCGTCGCAGGGAACACGCAGGTAATAGAAATGGGCACATCATTTCTTTATTTATGAAGATACCCAGATTTTCACGCTCCTGAAACTGAATTTATAGTAGATCATCGTTGTGTCAGAGTTATTTACCAAGACAGCAAATTCCCCCTTTGAGGCATGGATTTTTCCCTCAGCATCTCATAGGAGGCATTTTCACACTATCAGAAAACTAAAGACCCCTTTATGGACTGTCCCAGTTTCCCCCAGAAGAAATTCCATTTGCAAATGTTTATATTTGTCATAATATTTCATTCTTAATGAAACTGAATGCCAGCAGTCTGTGGAGAGAAAAAGCATTGCCACATTTTGAATGGCTTTAAAAATCAGTCTTTTTGCATCACATATCCGTGCACTTGTGATTCCTAAAATAACTTTGATCTACAAGATAAAATTTCAAGAGCATTTAATACTTTATAAATTTACAAAACTGTATATTACAAGTCTTAGTGCTAAACTATTGTTATCTGGGTTAGTGTTTTTTGTAGCTTTTGTAAACAAAAATTCATGAAATGGTAACCACATTGATAATATAAGGCTTTGGTTTTCATATGGATTTAAAATTTTGAAAGGTTTCTTTTTCCATGTCTTTAAGTTATAAACATAGCTACTTGATGGGATTTAGTAATTTTTCAGATGGACCTCTCTCTCCATTCAGAAAAGGTATCGAGTTTCTAAATGTAGATTTCAAAATACCATGAATTTTCTTCTAGTTACCTGAGATCTATACATATCATGATATAAGCTATCAAACTGTTTATGGCAATTCATAGTAAATCTATGGTTACCAGGATATCTGCTACTAAACAGCCTTCTTTCCATGAAATACATTGTTTATTGTCAAAAATTACTCAGAAAAAGGTGTTACATTTCTTGATTCTCACATGCTGAAAAAGTGAGCGGTGCAGTATTTAGCAGAGCAAGCTCCACTTGGTTTTCTGTGCAGCCAGTTCTTTGCAGCTGCAGGCGATGTCTGGTATTTCAAACTATATTTTCTCTAACACCTATTTCAATAAGTCTGATAAATGGCAGGTTTTCATGACTCAAGTTTTAGTATTATGAATGTTCTTTGTCTTCTCTAATTCAGGTTGAATATGAAGGCTTAAAGCATGAGATTAAACGATTTGAGGAGGAGACAGTGTTGCTTAATAGTCAGCTAGAAGATGCCATCCGGCTGAAGGAGATTGCTGAGCATCAGCTGGAGGAAGCTCTGGAGACTTTAAAAAATGAAAGAGAGCAAAAGAACAATCTGAGGAAGGAACTCTCCCAGTATATCAACCTCAATGATAGTGTGTATAATAACCATATTAATATATCAGTAGATGGATTGAAGTTTGCAGAGGACGGGGGCGAGCCCAACAATGACGACAAAATGAACGGACATATCCACGGGCCTCTCGTGAAACTCAACGGTGACTACCGAACTCCCACGGGTAGGAAAGGAGAATCTCTGCACCCCGTCTCTGACCTCTTCAGTGAGCTCAACATATCAGAAATACAGAAACTGAAGCAGCAACTCATGCAGGTAAGAGCTGAATTTAATCACCCGACATGTCCCGTGGATCTTAGCGTCAGCTTTTGCAATGATTTTCCCCAATTATGTTCTTGATGACATACATCCTGGTTTCAGACTTCTTTTTTCTTTATATCCAGAGTTTTATAGAATCATAGAATCATAGAATTGCCCAGGCCGGAAGGGACCTCCAAAGGCCATCTAGTCCGACCTCCCTGCAGTCAGCAGGGACACCCCCAACTAGACCAGGTTGCCCAGGGCCTCGTCGAGCCTCATCTTGAATATCTCCAGGGAAGGGGCCTCCCTGGGCAACCTGTTCCAGTGCTCCACTACCCTCACAGTAAAGAACCCTCTCCTAATCTCCAATCTAAATCTGTTCCCCTCCAGCTTTAAGCCATTTCCCCTCGTCCTGTCACTACAGGCCTTTCTAAACAGGCTCTCCCCAGCCTTCCTGTAGGCCCCCTTCAGGTACTGGAAGGCTGCTATTAGGTCTCCCCGGAGCCTCCTCTTCTCCAGGCTGAACAACCCCAGCTCCCTCAGCCTGTCCTCGTAGCAGAGGTGCTCCATCCCCCTGATCATCCTTGTGGCCTTCCTCTGGACCCTCTCCATCAGGTCCATGTCCTTCTTATATTGAGGGCTCCAGACCTGCACGCAATACTCCAGGTAGAGTATACTCTACTCCATTCTAGAAATGCCCCTAGAAAACAGGCTAGCTGTCTGAAAAATCAGTGTGAACTGAGAGGATGTTTAGTGGGAAGAGGAGGAAGGGACCTAGCTGCTGTGGTTGCAGATGGCTAGATTTGTTTTTCCTGATTTGATGATGGGAAATCTCCCTGAGACTGCAAGTCAAATAAAGTCCTCTCCAGCATGACCAAAGCTGCCTGGAAAACATCGCGCTAAAATACAGACAGTCTTGATTATGCTCTTTTGCAACTTGGAGGGAGGTTTTTGCCATTAAATTCAGTCAGAACAAGATTTGGCATGCTGTCAAGGGAGAACAAAAGGAGAGGAGCGCTCCTCTTAGTGACTGTGCTTTCGGAGAGCATGTGGCGTGCGATGTGTCACAGAGTGCCCTTGTCCACCCTGGCAGTCCCGGCGGATGCGCAGGCTGCAGGGGGTGCCTTGGGGACCGTACAGCCAGCGTTTGTTCTCTATTCATCCAAGCCCAGCCCAAGCATAACCAGAATAAGAACCTGGGATGCAAGCCAGATCAAAACTCAAGCTGCCAGCCCCGATGCTGACATCATCTTAGAAAGGGGTACAGTGCCACGCAGAGAAAGGGTCCCGCTGCCCAAGCTGTTGAGCATCTTCTCTCTCACAAGAGTTTTTTCAAGCTCTTTTCAAGGTTTTGGCACCATCGGGGAAACATCCAGCATTTTCTAGCTGTGGGCTTCCAAAAAGCGCCTCTTCTAAAAAGGGTAAATGTAAATCCTTTACAGCTTAAAAAGTAAAAGGCGATTTGGAAGTAAAGTAGAGCAAACCCAATTTTCAGTGCTTGCTAGCGAACAATAAATCCCTATGTGGTCTGTCCTATATTTGCTGAGGAGTTAATTGTTTTATTTACTTCATTGCCAAACTCACCGTGGGAAGTTTTGATCTGAGCTGTGACATGGCAAACACTGATGACATCTAGTGCTTTGCACAAATAACTTTGATGCAAGACATACATAATTTAAGTGAGAAAGCTTGAAATTTGGAATTTTGTTTCTGTGAAAAGTTATGCCAGAAACGTTTCCAGTATTAAAATGTAAACAGTGTGTGTAGTTTGTGTATATATGCATATATAAAAATATGCATGTGTATGTATGTATACATTTATGTATGTAATATATACACATATATATTATATGCAGCTTTTAATTTCATTTAGAAATACAATTTAAAACATTTTAAAAACCCAACTTCAGAAGAAATGCTTTGAAATGTTCACATTTTATAACACAGAGTACGTATTGTCAACCATAATTTACAATGAAGTTTATGCAATATAAATTTGGAGTGAAGGCTGGAAAAAAACCAAACAAGATTGAATATGTTTTGTCTTGATTTTATCAAATTAAGTATTGAGCTTGATAAATCAGCAAGCTTCTACTTGAAAGACACTGCAAATATTTATATGGTCTCTGACTTTAACGTTACTTATTTTACGCTTCTTAAGCAAAGAGTCAGCCTTCTGATGGTCACTAGCCACAAACTGTCTAGGGTCCTCTAAGACCCTAGGAGGACCCTAGGAAAGAAACATAACCATTTTTTAGTGAGAATGGCTTTGCCAGGCCCCAGCACCTTCACTCCAATAGCCACCACCATGGCTCAGTGTTCTAATAATGTTTAAAGTTTTAAGGTTTAAAAAGAAAAACCGGACCCAGCTGGGAACCTGATTTCTCTAGATACTGAAAAGAGTTACTGAAAAATTCTCATGTGTACTTTTTTTAAAGTAATCATCTTCTCTGTTGAGTTGCTCACCTTGGGTCACACAAATTAAATGGGAAAAATTCCTCCAAATTTTTCCTCAGAGTAGTTGGGAGATTTAATCAGGTTCAAGCTGACAAAAGGTAATTCTTCAGCAAAATTGGATTTTTTTTCTCCTGCACAGTGTCTTTGCTATGTGGTGTTCATTCAGCCATATCTCAATATTTGGTATGTGTTCCTCTTGTTTTCTCTGAAGAGTCAGACTCTGTGACAGAGTTGCTGAAGGAAATAACTCTCTCCTGGGAGCTATTTTTGTGTCTATAGGACAGCAGGCTTCTTTTCTGAAAGAAGCAAACTTCAGCTTTGCCATTTCATATGTGTGAGGCAAATTTTTTCACACTTCAGTCTCAAAAAGAAGCCTTGACTAAAACAGTAGGACAGATATAATTCCTTCTGCAGCTTTAGGATGCTGCTGCTCCATGATCTGTGCTGGTCCATAGGAGAGGTTTGATTGTAACTGTTCCCTTTCCATCTTTATAAACCTCCTATGTAACATATGTCTTGCTGAGAATTCTCATGTTCTGAGATTTTTCATAGAAAAGCTCAACGCTTTCTGCTCTTCTTTAATGTTTGTTGTCCAATGGGAAGAATTCTCTATCTCATCTTTAAAGCCTAGGACTCCTCTCTTCCACGGTAATGCTTTCGCTATTCCTGAGGCCAACATCATATTTGGAAAACATAGAATAAGTTCTCTTAAAAAACAAAACAAAACAAAACAGTCATGCAGCCCAATTTCTGACAGTCTTCTCCAGCTGTTATTTAAAAAAAAAAAAAAAAAACCACAAAAACCCAAGATAAACAGCAGTGCTAAAATTGGTTTTCATAATTGCAAACTATAAAGCAAATTGGGAAGGAAATTTCCTAAACCTGAAATCTTTGAAGGGAAGGAGGCATCGCAAAATAGGTACAGCTACTTTTGAATTGCTTTTATTTTTATTTGAATATGATAAAGATCCTTTCTGCAGCCACTAATTTCAATGTTAAACACACACCCCCCTCCCCCCAACAACTGAACTGAAAAATAACTGCAATTCCCAAAAGTTATCTGTGGGTGGAAATAAGAGTATAGTATTGTCTAGAACAAGGAATATAATTGAGGACAGCCATTAGTATTCAGAAGGTGAGCTCAGGGCTGAGTTGGAGCTTTGGGGATTTTTTTTCCATGGAAGTAGAAGCATGTATTTATAACTTTAAACAGAAATGGATTAGCTTAGTTCATAATTACTGGACCAGAATGAGTAAGATTTAGTACATCTGTGTATTTCACTTTGCCTGCTGTCCAAGTTGGCATGTGGGTCTTAAAAGTTGCATGTTTTCTCTGGAAAGAATCCTTTCTATTTGAAAGAAGTATTTTGTTCCAGAACACATTAATTCAGGAGATAAATGATCATAAAAGTCCCAATTAGCTTTGTTACAGTTTTGCTTCATGATAGAGTATGACAGCTGAGATCAGTAATCTGCCAGGATCAATTCTGTCTGATTAATTTAAGCACACCCTGAAACACTGTACTGCTTTAACATCAAGTTGTTTAAGGAAAGGCTCTCTGGCTGTAAGCTCTGTATTTATTTTTATGCTAGGGTGATCTACAGTTAATTGCCTACTTCTGTGTGAACATATACACAGTGGACTCATACCTTAAAAAGACAACTGCCTTTGGTGTGTAATGTATGCATTTATTATCCATATGACTCTCCACCTTAAGGTGAGACGGTCCTTTAAATTAACCAAACCTCAGATTTTTCTGCACCTGTGTAGCTCACCTTACCAGCCTGAAGGAATAAATGTCGTCATTAACTGATGAGGGTAATGTAATTAATACCTCAGCTTGCTATGCTAGGTGGTAAAAACTAGAATTTGGCTGAAAGTTTCTGGGGAGAGCAGACCTGGGACAGACTTCTCAATGGAGCTAGTGAGGAGGCTCTTGCTGGGCAGCTCTCTGAAGCTCTCCAGGGCAGGTCTGACTGAGAAATCTGTGGAGAGCAGCCACTTTTTAAGAAGATGCTCTTGACAAAGAGGAAGGTTGCTCTATTTTGGGTTTCCTCAACAAGAGTGGGCCGACACAGGGAGGGGTGAGCAGCAATGGGGGCAGCAGTCAGACTGAGGAACCAACGGGGAAACAACATCAAATGGAGGAAGGTGCCAATACACTCGTAGTACAAGGCTGTCCTCTTCTGCATTACAGCACAGACTATGCTGTGCCTGAAGTGGAGCACCCTGTGTCTAAGGAGACAGTCTCTTCTTGGATCATAAAATAATGATGAGGTTTGGCCCTCTTTTTTTAATTCTTAAGCCATCAGTCACCTGTACACGAGAAAACCGGGCTGATTTTTTTAAGGTGTTTTTAAAGTGGCTTCCACTTTTATTCTTAAAATTGCTGCCTGCAATTGATCAGAGGTTCTCATAAAGGTCATGTTTTGAAAGCTTGTCTGTAAAACCAGGGGACCATCTTATGCTTTAGTGCCTTAATACTTCTGAGTAGCAGCCACCGCTGAAAAGGCTGAAGGAGTCTGAAGCACTGCTTGGAACATTTTGTGAGATGGCATTAATACCCTCTCAGTCTCTAAAAGGCTTTTCTTTTCCTTCAGTAAGATTCATGGTGGCTGATTTGACTCTCTTCCAAATACTGCCTGGGGGAATGCTGATAGGGAAGGAAATACTTTTTAAAGGGTTTTTCAGAACTGACAGCTTTGAATTCTCAGAATTAGTAATTCAGTCACTCATAAAGGGAGCGTGCCATTTTCTCTGCACTGGTAAATACAGGGCTGAAATATTTTGTCAGTGGGAGAGAAAGAGCAGAAAACCTGGTAGGCTCAGGATCCTCTTGGAAAAAGCCGTGAAAGCAAGAAGGATCCCATCTTCTTGTCACAACTTTTGCTTCCCAATTCACAACTCAGAACAGGAGAAAAGCATAGAAAAAAAGTTGGAGCATTACATTTAAAACTTGAACTGAGAGTCTTTCAGAGGTGTTATCATGAATAGCAAATACCTGTCACATTTTTTCTTGTTCACTTGCTTTAAGATGCTGCGCATTAAAACTTCTAGAGTCCTCTTTCATGACCTTTTCTGCTGTTCAACATCCACATTTCTCTCTGGATATTCAGAAAGGAACTTATTAGGTCAGAACCAGTAGTTTGTTAGTTATACCACAAATCCTGCTGCTTCTGCTTCGTACTTAGAAGGATGGATTTTGCTTATAGTTAAGTGCTGGGAATGGAGAGTCCTGGGAGTTGTGTGTGCTCGGTCTCCTAATCTGTGTTACATTCCCACACAGCGATTTATTTAATCTAATCTGTGGAAATGTACACAGCCATTTGTTTACTCTATTTGCATTCAGTAATCAAGCCTTAATGAAAGTTTGCAGCAGTCCAAAGATAAATATTGTGAAGGATTGATAGAGCTATTCATGGGAAATGTAAATTCAAACCCTGTTGAGAAATGTGTATGTACCAGTGGAAAGGCTTGTACTTGACTGATAGTTGGCAGTGATGCAATTCATGCCTATTTAAATTTGTGGAACATATTTTGTAATAAATTCATTAGCATCAATCCAGCTGAGTAGGCATTTAGCACTTGGGCATTAAGTAATTCTTCTGTGGGCAACTTGTAAAGCCGTAGTGATATTGCAAACTGTATCCAAAGTTGGGACTACATAGCCTTGTGCAAGTTATATGTACCTTTTTCTGACTTAATTTTATGGTTTAGGGATATATGGCTAAAATCTCTTTGAAGCCTTCAACTTGTGTATGCAGAGATGGGGGAATGGAAAAGACGAATGTGATTGCAGAGTTTGGTGTTCAGCCTGGGTAAGTCAAGTTCCTGATTTTCTTAATTTGACTCTGTTGCAGGTGGAGAGAGAGAAGGCCATTCTCCTGGCCAACCTGCAGGAGTCTCAGACGCAGCTGGAGCACACCAAGGGAGCCCTGACCGAGCAACACGAGCGAGTCCACAGGCTCACGGAGCACGTCAATGCCATGAGGGGGCTGCAGAGCAACAAGGAGCTGAAAGCTGAGCTTGACTGTGAGAAGGGCCGAGACCCTGGCGAGGAAGCACACGACTATGAAGTGGACATCAATGGCTTGGAGATCCTAGAATGTAAATACAAAGTAGCTGTTACCGAGGTGATAGACCTTAAAGCAGAAATCAAAGCCTTAAAGGAGAAATATAATAAATACGTGGAAAACTACACTGAAGAGAAGGCCAAGTATGAGAGCAGAATCCAGACGTACGACGAACAGGTGACAAGCCTGGAGAAGTCAACCAAGGAAAGCCAGGAAAAAATGGTCCACATGGAAAAAGAATTGCAAAGGATGACAAGCATAGCAAATGAAAACCATAATACCCTCAACACCGCACAGGATGAGCTGGTAACCTTCAGCGAGGAGCTGGCTCAGCTCTACCATCACGTCTGCCTGTGCAACAACGAGACACCAAACAGGGTTATGTTGGACTATTACAGGCAAAGCAGAGTAACCCGCAGCGGGAGCCTGAAAGGACCAGATGACCCTCGAGGTCTCCTTTCCCCACGGCTCGCCAGAAGGGGGGTGGCATCACCTGTAGAAGCTAGGACCCCGACCGAGCAGGTGACAAAAGAGGCCACAGAGCCTGGCAAGGAACAGAGCCCGACAAAAACACCTTCCATTTCTCCTGTCATCACGGCCCCTCCTTCCTCCCCCGTCTCCGATACCAGTGACATCCGCAAAGAGCCGATGAACATCTACAACCTCAATGCCATAATAAGGGACCAAATCAAGCACTTGCAGAAGGCTGTCGATCGGTCGCTGCAGCTGTCACGCCAGCGTGCTGCAGCTCGGGAGCTGGCACCCATGATTGACAAAGACAAGGAGGCCTTAATGGAAGAGATACTGAAGCTGAAATCCCTCCTGAGTACGAAGCGGGAGCAGATCGCAACCCTGAGAGCAGTGCTGAAAGCCAACAAGCAGGTAAGATGCTAATAAAGCAGTCAGTCGGGAATGTCAGTTATTTATACAGGTCACTTACAAGCTTTCCCGGGAGTGTTTCGGAGGAGAGATTTTACTCACAGGTTATTTACCCTCTCACTCAATCATGGTGAGGGCAGACCTTTCTTCCCTCTCATCCTGCCTCCTCTTTATGCTCTTTAGCTCTGCTTTTCTCAGCACCCACCATTCACCAAGGGCACGGGCAGAAGAGCCTTTCCTGTGGGAGGCTCTCTCCTGAGGGAGAGAAAAGCAGAGGAGCGGGGAGTCATCACCTGCCACTCAGCCTGATGCACAGGCTTGTCCCTATTACTGTTGTGAAATGAAAATGTTCCCAACACTGGAAAACAAACCGGAGTGTGCATGGAGAGGCTCTTGGGGTGTGCTGGCCCCCCACCAGGGCAGGTACTCCTGGAGTGATGGGGAAGGCAAGCAGAGGGGAGACCACCTGAGCCAGCACCTCAGCAGCTGCACATGGTCCCTCCGGTGGGATTTAGTGGAGCAGATGGTCCAAGCAACCCGTTGCGTGCTTCTTGGCTCTTGGTAACTCTCCATAGGCTGTAAAACTGGAATGCTCTCCAGTCAATTTAAGGGGATTAAAAATAAATGCCACAAAAGCCAAAGCGTGCCTCAGGGAGAGAATGGCAGGTGTAAAAGCGACATCGGTTGCTTTGGACTGTACAGAAGTTGGGCATTTCTTTGATAAGACAGCAAGTGAAATGTTGGGTTATTTTCATTACAGGTGGTTGGAAATCTTTTAATGATTTTTCTTTTTAGTCAGAACTGATTTCTCCTGCCATTGTCACGTTTTTAATCTTTTAAGAATTAAAATTCTGGTTTTCTTTTTTTTTTTTTTTTTAAGAAAAAGGACAAGATGTTGTCCAACAACACTAGATGTTAAAGATGACTTGAATCAGTAACTGCAATTTTTTATTTTGAGAAGGATGTATTATAAAGTTATATTTTAAGAGAATAAAAAATTTAAAATTATTATTTTGAATATTTTCACAGCTTAAAAAAGATCAACTCATCAAACCACTTTATTTTTGATGTTTCACCAGTGCAAACAAACTGAGAATTCCTGCATTTTATATGAAATACAGGATGCTGCAGTGGCAGAGTCATCGTTCCAGATTGCCTGGGACATTTCTCATCTGAAAACAGCGCAGCAATCACCACATGGGGGCATGAATCCCAGTTAACAGCTTGGGATGCTATTAGCTGATGACAGTGATGGGTTTTCAGTGTTAAAATTCCCAATGGTCAAGTAGTCTGAAGTTACAGTTTCAAGTTTAATTGATTGTTGGATCCGTAACTGCATTTCTAGAGTAGTGGGGACTTTTAAATTGCAGCAATATTTCAATATACATTGAGTCTTTTATAGTATTTCTCCCCCTCTAATCCAACACATGTTAAATATTAATTCAAGTAATTAAATACCAGCAGTAATAGCTCTGAGCAATTATATGTGCATTTTCCATGTAATTAAAATGTAATTAAGATGTAATTGAGGTATATGTATTTAGATTCCAAATTGAAGATTTTTTTCCATTAGCATAGAACTATCATTTATTTTTTTATACTACCAGAGAATCTAGCTCAGACTTGCTCTTTTATTGATGTCAGAAATAAAACATCACTCTACAGTGTGCTCACTGAAATGGAGAGATAGATTTGTTGAGTAAGGAGGTGGTATTAATTAAACTTCTATTTATTGGATAGCAGCATAGCTATTGGTAACTGTACAACTGGGTATAGAATCTTGCTATACTGATCATGCAAAACGAATATCAACAACCTCAAACTTTAAAGTTAAAAGACACAATAATATAAAAGGATAGAAAGGGCTGCATCACAGCTCGTCCTGCTTGGTAGCAATGCTGTTACAAACCCCCTGCATTCGTTAGCACTCCAAACAGAGACACTTTAGGGGAAGGTTTTTTGTTGGAGCTATATGGGAAAGCAAGGTAAGCGTAACCAAATGGGGACAAAGTTTTTAGCAGGGCCTGTTGCCACAGCACAAGGGGTAAAGGTTTTAAATTAAAAGAGGGTAGATTCAGGCTAGATATAAGGAAGACATTTTTTACGATGAGGGTGGTGAAACATGGGAAGAGGTTGCCCAGAGAGGTGGGAGATGCCTCATTGCTGGAAACATTCAAGGTCAGGTTGGACAAGGTTCTGAGCAACCTGATCTAGTTGAAGATGTCCCTACTCATTGCAGGGGGCTTCAACTAGATGACCTTTAGAGGTTCCTTCCATCCCAAGCCATTCTATCATTTGAAATGCACTGTAAAAAAGACAAGACCTGGCCTTCCTAGACAATATTGCCAGTCAGATTCAGGGGTAAGACCAGGAGCAGAAATACCTGGATCTGGTATTTCGGGTTGTATTTCTGTAGTGAAGTCACACCCTTAACCAGGGAAGCACGGGTGCTATCTAGTGACCACCAGAAGCATTGCAACATCAGATTAAAACCAGAATTGGAGAGTTTTCCTGGCAATACACTTGGCCACAGTGCAATGCCATCCTCTGTTATCCAGGTATACAGGGGCAAATGGCTCATCGGAAGAGAAACAGCAGAGTTTCCACCTCCAGGCTTGAATTGTGTTCACTCCTTTTCACAGTGACGTACCCAACTGCAGGACAGCCCCGAAAGAGTCTCTGTTTCAACAGTCTCCTCTTGCCACCGTGGGCCTGGCACTCTAGCAGTGCAGTTTTAAATTGTTAACAACATACAATAAATTTCTGTTTAAGCCTGACAAGATGTTGCTTAGTTTAATGCATTTGGCAATATCTGATGATATTTCTTTTTAATCTAGCTATATTTCCTTTAATAATATTTTCAAATAAACATTAAGCACTAGGCTAGGTTGCAAACAGACTACACAAAACTCTGTAATAAAAAAAAAAAAAAAAAAAAACAGAGCAAGATTTTCTCTAAGCAACTTCAAACCTAAGCCCAGAAAAGTAAGATTATTGAATCAATTGCTCAAGATAGCAAGGCACAAGTATCTTGCTAGCTTCCTTGCTTACCTTGCCGTGATTTATGTGTACATAAATTCATAGCTATAATTACTGTGTCAGCATCAATTTTGTGGAGCAAGCCCAAGTAGCATTAGCATTAACAAGTAGCATAAATTTGTAAAGTAATATAAAATTAATGATATAATAACTTCTAGGACCAGTTCAATAATAGTTTTGATTTTGATTTCTAATGACATTCAGAAAGCTAAGCTGCCAATGAGGGGAATTTAATATCCTGAAGTCCTGATTGAAAAATGATCGGTTGTTCTCATGAGGTAAATTGTTCGATGGGCAGGAGTTGAGTCAGCAAGACCTTCACAGCTGTATCGGCAGTAACTATGGTGTCTCCAGCTCCCATAACTGAGAGAGTCATAAAAGTCCTTCAATAAAAATAGCAGGATAACTCCAGATATACGGTACCTAATCCAGAAACAAAAGCCCTGGTGTTATATAGAGAGAATGCTGGGTGGAAAGATCTAGCAACACATATGATTTCTGCACTAAAACAACAGGCTTTCTTGTGTGAAAGCAGTTCAGCTTTCCTGTGTGGAAAAAATAAAGTACTTACCACTGTAGGACTTAATATTCTTTCAGCAACCATGTTTTAGCTTGGTTTGCTTCTCAGGCTCTTAATGTAAGGTAAATGAGACACAAAGTATTCTTAGCTTGTGAAATCTGTGTGGAGAAAATCAGGTTTGTTTACAGATTTCAGGATTAAAGTGGCAACCTTTAGGCAGCTGGGTTTGGGCAAACATCTCTTCAGCGAGGATAAGGAAGAGGATGAAGAGGTCATCGTTAGCTCTGGTAGCACCTTGGGTCCTGGGGCTTGGGTGTGTGCCCCTCAGGCTGGATTTTGGGGAGGGGGATGCTGAGCTCAGTGTGCCCCAGCTCTCTGTTCCTCCATAGTTTCACTCTCCGCAGGAGTCTGAGCGTTGGAGCTCTCTGCTCCCTCCCAGCCTTGCTGTCAGCTCCAGGTGACTTCTTCTGCACAGCAAATGCTACGTGCTCCATTGGTCCTGTGTCTACAGGTGCCTTGCTGAGTGGCTGGGGAGTTCTTTTGCCCAGGCATAACTGGTCTCCTGACAGGAGTGTCATTAGCCCCTCTCCTTATTGCACTACTTACTTCACTGAAGAGTATTCACACATTTTTCTGCATTTTCATCTTTTTCTTGTGCTGCCCATTTCCATGTGTGTTGCTCAGAGGTTGCATTTTTTTTATGTGGAGCGAATTTCCACTAATTTCTCTGACACAGTTTTGTAGTGAACCACAGCTTAAAACCAAATGCTTCGGAAAGAGCTGGTAAAAACAAAGCTGGGTCCTGGCTGGCTGCTTCCTTCTGGCACCCACTACTTGGAGATGTTGCCCCATCCTTCCTTTCAGAGCACTCTCTGAACACACCGTTCACCCCAGATCTTTAAAGTATGGATTATCCCACAGAACTGGGTTCAGGCACAGCGACACGTATGTGGTTCAATGGGCACAATTTTGGAGATTGGCTGAGAGGGGGAACAAATAGAAATAATTTAGACAAGAGCTGCTGCTGGAGGAGGAGCAAGATGAAACTATGGCTTCAGCTCGTTTTGTCCCTGTTACTCTTGGCACAGTCTAGCAGTACAGCTGAGGTGACCAGGCACATAGGTACCTCTGAAAGATGAAGTCCAACTTCTCCTTCTCCCCTCAGCCCCTCTCCCCATGGCATGTTTGGCTTCAGGGTGCTTCAGGTCAGTTTTCTGCCTCTTCAGCCTCCCCAAACTGGCTCACAGTAAGCACGGAAGAAAACCACCCGATCTGCAAAGGGTAGGGATGGGGAAAGGCAGGGTAATTATTCTTTTGGTGGCACCTAGCCAATATAGATCGACTCGGCTGCATTGTGAAATGTCATCCTCAGAGCCGAGGAGTCTGACAGCAATCGGCTTCAGTCAGCATCCAGCTCCCAAACCGATGAGCTGTAGTAACCTGAGCATCTGCAGTCGGGAGCCCAACAGCTCTTACAAGGATCTCTTGAGCCTCACGCTCAAGTGATGCTCTGCTCACCCTGGCTGTAGGTTTCCAACAGAAGCTACCCTTTCTTGCTCTCCCCTTCTTTCTTTTGCCACTTAACATGCTTTCTTGTTAGTTTTATTTGCTTCACTAGTGGAGCACTGGTGCCTATTCATTCTTCACTTATAGGACTTTCATAAGGGAGACCTTCGACAGCCTGTGAAGGCACTTCCAACAAGTTTTAAAATTTATGCTTCCTTTTCTATATGTTGTTTCATATAGAAACGACGTGAGAGGAAAACTCTAATTGGAAGAAAAAAAAAAAAGTTTGAGGATTTGACACACTACTTCCTCTGTTACCTTTGTGCACCATCTAAATTATATTTCTAAGTTATTTTTCATCCAGTAGTGTTACCTGTCCATTTAACTTATCCTGACATCTGGACTAAAACATACAGATCAAAATGACCTGTCTGATCATTGTGCATGGTTTGAGTGATGTGTAGATTATTTGGTTTACATGGAATATGTAATCTGCTGAAAAAAAGTAATGTGCTTTTTTTTTTTAATTTCTAGCATTATGTGGCACATATATTTAAGTCATTTTAATTCCTAAACAAAGGAAAATCTTTACATGAATTCTGTATTCGAAGATCAGGTATGATAGGTTAAGGGACATGAGGCTGTATTTCTCTTACAAAGCAAAGACACATGAGTTCCTGTCTTAGGAGCAAAGCAGAACTCAATTTGAGCTATAGAATCTACCTCTGCTCTCATAAATAATCTCTGCCTCATTAGTGACCTGATAATTCTTAAATAAATATGGTTTAATCATATCTGTTAGAAAGGAATTTGTCCTCTGATGCACTATTTCCTTTATTTCCCTTCAAAAAGTAGTTTTAAACATAGTTAATCCTTCTTCTCCAAGTTAATTTAGGAGTGTACATTTTTGCTCATGGCTGAAAACAGATATAAAGATTACGTTTTTTTCTTTATCATGCCAAGTGTAGGATGCTGTCTAGATCCTACATGATGCCAAAGCATATGCCAGCAAGTTGAGAAAAGCCATATTTATTTGAATACATCCCTAACTAGTTGATTTTTTTAACGTGTATTGCTGATGATTTCAAATTTGGCATGGAAAAATCTATCTATTTAAAATGACAGGTGACTATTGTGAGAGTAGAGAAAATATTATTGGTGAGTGTACAATTGGAAAAAAAAGTTGTTTTAATGTGGCCATTTCTAACTGTACTATTTCCCCAGACTCAAATGAATAGAGTTGTTTTTTAGTAGGAGGTGATAATATGTCCTCTTGTTAAGAGGCATTATTAGTGGGAAACGTATTGCATTTCAGAAAACTGAGTTTAAAATAGGTATCCAACTGTTTGGCCATTAGCATCTTTTGTCATGTTCCCTTGCTGGTTGCTTTAAACTAATGTTCTTCTATACTTCTCTCCCTTGGTGATGGCTCAAGAACCCACAAGATCAACAGGGGAAACTGATTGCCTATAGGAAATGCTGCAACTTGTTATCCACTAAATGAAGTGAAAAAATAACCAGAACCCCCTCTGAGTAAATATAAAAGGAAACATTTTTTTCTTCATCTCATTCAGTGGCAATTTTAAGTGTCTCAGAGCAGTATTAGGTATAAAGCCTTTATAAAACTATATATTTTGAATAACTTCAAAGGGATACTAAATTTCATAGGTAAAGCAGAAGGCTCAACTCTTGCAAAAATAAGACAAATGTAACTATTAAAAGCAGTAGGGCAGTAGTTCAAAGGAATTTAATGGATGAAATTGAAAAAAGAAACAAGGAAGCAGAAAAAATGAAGGAACAGGATGACTACAAAGCCTTGCTTTCCTGTTAAGTGGAAATTGTAATTTACACGTGGTTTTTGTTCTTTTTTTGTAGTGGTTAAAACTGCCAAAGTAATGCTGGTTTGCCCAACCGTAGATGTTGCCGGTGCTCAGACATAAACATGAGCTGTCAAGTCCTGGCAGTCACCTCACCTGGGGAAAGCCTCAGCTGGCAAGAAGCATGAGGCAGAACACATTAGTTTCCACCTCTGCTGCAGAGGCTGAGTCTTATGCGCTGTGTGTGCACACTGTGTGTGCAGGGAACACACATGGTGTGTCAAATGATGTGGTAGCATCTCCTTAAGCTGTAGTAACTTACTTGCTTGAGTCCTCAGCATACAGCTGCACAGTTTTGCAGAGACATTTAAGGTGTCGAGTTGTTGCCAGTGCGTTGAAATTGGCTTTATCCTTTCAACTCCTTTCTCCTTTTCCTGGAAAGAAGCCTAAAAGACGACATTAAAGGGTGCAGTGAAGTCAGGTCTAACTCCTTTTACCTTGTGAATTAAGAAGGAAATCAGAAGTAAACTCAAATGTGGCATCTTAGCTGTTATCAGATATCTGTCTCGTAATCATATATCCTTGTTTGTGTTTTCAGACAGCTGAAGTGGCACTAGCCAATTTGAAGAATAAATACGAAAATGAAAAAGCAATGGTGACTGAAACCATGACCAAACTACGGAATGAATTAAAGGCTTTAAAGGAAGATGCAGCAACCTTCTCATCCTTGAGAGCAATGTTTGCAACCAGGTAAGGGAAACGTTTTTGCCGTCTGGCTCAGCACTGTAAAAGTAAATATGTGTGTGTTAAGTGAGCACAGACTTAGCTGTGTATGTTGGGTGTGTAGGAGGAGAGAGAGAAATTATTTTCTGCAAGGTCAGAGGTTTTCTGGATGAAGGTGAATGAGTCTTAGAGTGCACACTGTGCAAAACCCGCAAGCTTTCAAGTGCTAGTGAGATGGGTGTCTTGGAAAATAAAGCTGGAGAATAGCAATGTCAATACAACCTTGAGTAAAGTGTTATAAATGCCAATATCAACTTCCAGTGTATTTGCATTTATAGGGCTTTTTAAAGTGGAAATGAAGTAGTAGATTGATGTGGCTGATTTTCACGTTCAGGAGTATGCAGTATTCTGTCATGTAAAGCTATCGTATGGTTAATGATGATCTTCAGAATCCCATGTTTTCATTATCATAAGATTTATTACTTAGCACTAGTAAAATCTATTTCATCAACCAGTGTATGCTGTAATCCAGCACTAGTAATTGTGAGGCCACTTCAATTTCCCACTCCAGCATGAATTCTTATTTTATCCTGCTGTGATATTCAATTTATTATCTTCTCCTTCACAGGATAAAAGTTTCACTTTTCTTCTGTAACATAGTTCCTCCTGGCAGGACAGTAATTAATTATCTCTTATCTATCCTTCTCCCGCACCTTATTCAGAAGAGCTTTTGATTTTAGCTGCTTTTTAAAAGGTTTCCTAAAACTATTTTTTTTAAAGATAATGTTTTCATCAACAAATTCTTAACTCCCAAATAAGCAAGGAAATTTGTATTCTCAGGAAATTATTCTGTTATATCAAGGCTTTTTTTTTCTCCCTTGTGGTCAAACACAATGCACATTTCTTGCTTGTGCTTCAGTGATAAGACTTCTTCATGCTTCATGCCAACATCTCTCCAGTGCTCCCTGTGGTATAAAGGTGCCATCTCACCTCTTCCAGCCTTCTAAGGTCCTTTGTTGCTCAGTGACAGTGACAGCAGCAGCAACTGGGAGAGGTGGGAAGGAAGGAAAAGGGACATTTACATGCCGTGACATTGGTGCTGTGTACAAATTCATCATAGGTTCATCGTCAGAAGAGTACGTGTAGTGCCATAATGGAAATGAAGAACCAACTCAGCAGGTGGTGTGAACAAAGGTAGCTCCATTGATTTCATTGGCATCTAAAGATTTTCTTCAAGAAAGCAAAGTTGTGTGTGTGTTTCAGAAATGCAGGTGTGAATCTTTATTTCCAAGCTCATTACTCTAGGAGATAACTCCAGAGGAGAGGAGAGATATCATGAGCATAAAGCAAACAATGGACTTCCATGGAGCATAAATCAACCTATAAGATAAAATAAGTTTGCAGAGATTTAGAAGTTGCTACTTAAAGGGAATGTTAGGTTATTGGTGTACTGTAGGCTCTTTACCCTATTTGGACATCCTGAGTACGCACTTTAGTTGGGTTTAAGGCATATCCTAAAGGTGGTGGCAGACAATGGCATCTTTTCTGTGAGAATTAGGCCTAAAGGGTGCCAGTCATCTCGATGCCATTTCTAGCCATCTTGTGTATAGGATGCAAAGAAGCTTCTGTTTCTCTTCTATGAACTACAAAGGGAATCTGGGTGACTGGCCGAGTTACAGATTTCCACTTTGTAAATGTCTAATATTAGTAGAGATAAATCCCACCCAAAGCATCTACTGCTGCTGGTAAGCTCCATGCAGTAGTGATTAAACACTCACTGCATGGCCTGTGGAACATATTCCTGCCCTTGAGGTCGTAAGTTCTGCCCAGTATTTTCTGAACACAGTTATAAAAATCATTCACTGCAAGGTCTTGCACATCATTGGGCTCCTATAGATTTTTCTGTTGTAAATTATTCCTTTCCCTTCCCTACCCTGGAATCTAATGGCCATTATAATTAAATCAATCTTCCTAAATGTTCAAATCATCAACTCTTTCTGAATACTCCATTTGGAATAATATTTTTTTAACTGACAGAGAGCTGATATACTATAGATGTCTGTTCAAGAAAAGAAATCTGTTTGAAAATAGAGAACTGTCAGATTCTACATGCAGTAACATTCGATGCAATAGCAACATTCAACATAATGCCATAATTCAACATAATCTTCTTCCCAGAAACATAAGTATCATAAGTTCAGAATGGCATGTACTAAGGACAAGTTCATACTGATTTTGAAGGATCTTTAATACAGCAATGGTAGCCCAAAAAGTAATTTTACATTTTTTGAACATGTAATTACACTGCCATAAACATGAGAGAGGCATTTATTAAACAAGGCTATTACTGCCCCAGTCCCAAGTAAAATTCCAAACATTTTGAATTTCAGATGTACAGCTTGATTACAGAAGACCTCATCTTGCCTGGAAAATAACGTAAAAGCCCATGTCAGTAAGGCATGTCTTAGAAGAAGTGTGGAATGTTCACATGCTGACAGGGTGTCTGACTTGCTCTTCATTTAAGATACTCCAAATATCCTTTCAATCACACATGTTTTGCCTGACAGCCCCTGTAACTGTGTATATTACTACTTAAATCTTTCCTAGATTTAGAATACAAACTTGAGGACCCATTGTTGCATTTATAGATCTATATGAGTCCTACAACTGTGGTATCCTGACTAATGATTTGGAGCGGCTGGTGCATATTGCAACACAAATAATATATTCCTGCCCTTGAGGTCATAAGTTCTGCCCGGTATTTTCTGAACACCGTTATAAAAATCATTCACTGCATATATTGGTAATAAGGCAGTTCAGGATAGCAGACAATTTTTAGAGGCAGTTGACTCTATGAAGAGGAATAATTTCAATCACAACTAAGAATAATGTGATGAGGACACTAGTCAAATGTCTATAGCTCAATTAAGAGTCTCATTTGCAGTCATGCTGGACAAAATATCGTGCAGTTAGAAGTAACCCCATGTTGGAAGGGAGATGAAAGCTCAAAATGTCAGACTTTGGTTTGTTCATGTCTCTTGTTCAAAATTTAAGGAGTCAACATTAGAGCAGTTTTCATGTATATCAGGAATGGATTTCCCAGGTGTCCAACCACACATCCCTGAAAAATCATTGCACTAGGCAATGTGTGGGATAAAATCCATTCTGTACTATTTGGTTCTACCAAGAGGTCCCAGATCATGGTGACAGACACAACAACTCATTTTCCTCTGGTTGGTGTATTCAGGACTACGTTACGTATTCCTCCACTGCCTGAGGAAGAAGAAACATTCTCATATGATTACTCCATCATCTTGTACACCTGTATAAAACCAGTTCAAGGGTCCAATGTGCATAAATCATACTATATTTGTCCTTCAAATTATTTGCTGATGCACACACATTCTGGAAGGTGATTATTCTGTAAGGTCATTGGATATTAGGAAAACTTTTACACTGAAAGGGTTATTAAACATTGGAGTGGGATGCCCAGGGAAGTGGTTGAGGCACCATCCCTGGAAGTATTAAAAAGACCGATTGACATATAGTGCTTAGTGACATGGTTTAGTGATATGGTTTTTTGTTTTTGTCAGAGTTAGGTTGATGGTTGGACTAAATGATCTTAAAGTTCCCTTCCAACCTAGACAATTCTATAATTTTATGATTCTATGATTCTATAAAAAGCAATTATTTAATCTTCTGTTGAGTAAAACAGTGGTTTCCATGGTTATCCTGCATCACATGGTACTTATGCCTGAGTTTGTACTGTAGAGAGAACGTCCTTCTGATACTAGAGTTAGATCTGAAAATTATTTCATTTACTGTTTGATAGAGCAATATTCTTTCTCTTCATAAACCATCCTTTCTGTCCATTTGGTCTCCAAAGCGATGTTCATTCTGGTGCTGAACTGTGTGGTTTCTTCCTCAGATGCACTGGATAAAGGTCATACCACATTATAAGGAGAGCACAGCATTACTGTTTCTGGTTTGAAAAGCAAAGAGGACGCTTCTCTAAAGCTGTCCTATGCAGAAAGCAGGAGCCCTTCTTTTTCTGTGATTTTCCCTGACACTTGTGCATCCTTCCACTCCTGAAGTTCTTCTCTTGCCCTCAAAAGTCCTTCTGTCCTGCTTGTACCTCTACTTTTGCTTTTTTCCCCGTCTGGGACTGTTTGTTTCCCAATCCAAAATCTCTGTGGCTCTGATCTGTACAGCTTCCTCCTTCCCCCTTCATTGGCCTTGATCCCTGAATTACTTTAGACCTGTCAAGAATATGTCCTCAGTACAGTTTGAACTCTTTTCCCTCAGACGCCTCTCTTAGAAAAAGAGCAACAGAGTATAAACCCTTTTTTTCTGTGGGATGCGTAGGGTTGGCAGAGCAGAGCTGAAGTTCTTGTTTGATGCCAGGGCCATGGGCTCCACATCAGATTTGCAGCTCCTGCCTTTAGCCTGCTTATTTTGTACTGAGCTGCTTCTGGTAGTCCCAGACCAGAAAAAATCGTGATTGCCTTTACTGCCCCTCCTGTCATTTCCCCTCCTGAAGTCGCTGACCCAGGGTGTGAGCTGTGGGACTCATCTAGAGGGAAAATGAAAAATATACTCTTTAAACCATTAGTTTTGCCATCTGGAGTAGAGGTTGCCCTGGGAGAGGAAAGGAAGAGAAATCTAGTGCTGAAAGAGAGAAGAAACTACTTTTAAAGCAGAATCATAAAGGGATTTGGAAAGCTAATTTTACAGAGTCCCTACACATACTTGCTTTCCCAGCCTGAATAAAGATACTCGAAAGAGAAAGAAATATTACTCATGATATTGCCACAGTCCTGACACTGCATGCACTGGTTTTATTCTCCATCCATCAAGACATTTTCTTAAGATTAATATTTAAAGAAAAAAAGTGTGCTGAAGAGATGGACTAGGAAGTTTAGACAGATCCTTGAGCTATCCTATATGAGAAAACATTTATGAACAGCAGGGAATTATGCTTATATGACTGGAGCAGGGATCTGTCACTGTCAGTGTCCCTGGGTTTTAGCTCAAGCTCTGCTATGATTTATGTTACCTAAATAACACATAAGCCTGACTCCGTATTTGGTTTGCATTCCTAGATGAGGGATATGGATGGAACTAGAAATCCTTTTAACTCCTGTATAAGCTTCTTGGATCAGTTCATACAAAATAAGGGGGTTTATGTGTCTGCCTGCTTCCTTTCTAAGACAAGAGAAGTGAAAAACAGGTGAAATCTTGATCTCTGCTCTGGCAATAAGTAGACCAGTAGACAGCGAGGTAACAGCGCTGTTTATTTAATAGTCACTTGCAGCATACACCAGTCCTGGGGCAAGGGGAAAACTGGGAAAGAACTCTGACTCACACGGACATAACATAAACTTTCTTATTTACTACTATTTGAGTACTTCTGAAAAACCTATTCAGAGCCCTGGTGCATCCTGGAGCCCTGCTTGGTCCACAGTTGTCTGTGCTGTGCCAGAATTCATCTCTCTTGGGAGCTCTTAACCTTTTTCTTCCTTGGTGTGCTGTGAGACTTGATGACTATTTATAAAATGTGTGGGCAAAAGACAATATGCATGTGTGTAATGCCTTTTTTTTTTTTTTTTAATTGGAAACAATTCTCTTTTTATTCCACACTTGGACGTAGCAGGAAACATTTCAGTGAAGGGAAATGCCATGGCTGCAGGCAGTAGTAACATCCCACTGCCTAGAACAACCTTCACTGCTGCAGACTTCAAGGAGATCAGAAGCTGCTAATTCAGCAGTTTCTAAAGTTAATTATGGCCTTTACTTTACTTCACTGATTTAGGTTTAACCTTTCTGAACACTGTTTCTCAAAAAAAAAGCCCCCAAACATGCTTGAGCAACAAAACACAGAGACAATGGACCACATGTTTGTGAAAAATAATAGGAAACTTCGAGTTGTGCTGGAGGTCAGATGACTGGAGCCTCCCAAACACTGCAGTGAACTGGCAAGAATGCAGGGTTGCTGTTACGGAGAGACATCTAGGAAGGGCATATAATTAATCAGAACAATTGGAAAATGTAGTATTAACAAGATTGGTTTTGTCTGGAGTATGAGGCCAGCTAACAGCATCTAGTGTATCCAGGTTTCTAGGGCCAGCTTGTTTTAGTTCATAACAGGTAACGAAAAGCAGGTTTGTCTAAGTCTGCTATAGTAATATCCCCCTCAGGGAGCTTATGTTTCTTAACTGCTCAGTTACGCTTTTTTACAAAGCAGATAACTAAATACCAAAAACACAGCCTAAGGCATGAGGAAAGCCAATCTTTTTCCCCCAAAAAAATTGGCTTATTGGTGCACTAAAGCAAGGCAGTTTGTTCCTCCAGTGGCACTATGCTACAGGTGTTGCTGCTAGTGTTACTTTAAAAAATTTTCTACAGAAAACGTATTTGGAAAAAAAAAAGATGTCTTCCAGACAAAATGGAAAGCAGGAGAGAATGAGAGGGTTGGATACAGGATCCATCTGGTTACAAGAATGAGTCTTTAAAACTCTGATAACACAGAACCTATAGTAATTCCTATTTCAAACGACTTGAATTTAATCTCCAGCATGCTGATTTCATTCTAATGTCTCTGTCAAAGAAACTGGCTAAAGCATCAATAGACATCTCATGGCTTAGAGCAGAAATAGGGGTGCAAGTTGGCTCTGAGCCAAGCAGTGTTTCAGGACTATCTCTCTTCCTCAAGGCTTGAATAAAGACAGTCATGCTTATTAAGGTGCTGTAGAAGACAGATAATACTGAAACTGTAGATAAAACTAGATGAAACTATGGCTGACTTGGTAATTCTGCTTCCAGTGCCTGAATTATTCAAAAGGAGAGTGCAATATATATATGTGACTGTTTGTGTGTGAGGAATAACTATGAATTTTTGAGTATACTTTGTTTCTGTTTCTCAAGGAGAAGATTAAAGTTACAGAGAAATTAGTCTCGTCCCTCAGTTTGTAATAATTCAGGAGTTTTCTCACACATCACACATTTTGAGAAGGAAAGCTAAAATTACTTTCTATGTTTGTTTTCTGTGAGTGACAGTGATAAAGTCAAACCATCATCCATTACACTATTGCAATTACAGAGCAAAGTTATTTAGATTTATGTAGATCACATGGGGAGGAGATTTGACGAAAACTGCATCATTTAATGTGACAAATTTTTGCATGTTGCCACAAACATCCGATGGTCAGACAGCACTGCTACCTGTGAATTATTTCAGTACTGGTATACATTTATCACTCCTGGTTTTTACTGATTAAATGGTCTGTTTTTAACAGACTGAAGCTATTTCACTTCAAACAGTGACTAAGACCATCCTGAAATGTCTTGCTCCTCCTGTTAACTTTAGGAACCATTTGAAGTGAGACTAAATTGAATTCAGTCTTAAATGCTAACAAAATAATGAGAAAGGTGGCTTTATTTAAAAATTGGTCTTGGAGATCTGAAGCAAATTAAAAAGATACAGATTTTTACACAGATGGAAGAGGCTGAGGGTTAAAAAGGAGTAGGTTGCCATAGCAATGGATACCTGTGCACACCTCCAAGAGACTCAACAGTAAATGTGGAATAATTTCCAGGTGAGGGATTCAGTATTCCTGAATACTACCTCGTTAATCAGTCAACAATGTGTCCTGGTTTCAGCTGGGATAGAGTTAATTTTCTTTCTAGTAGCTGCTGTCCTAGTGGCTGACTGGGGTTAAACCTCAACACAATGGCAAACAACTGAGGGCTTCTCATTTCACAAAATCTGGTGGGTCGAGTGTTCAAATTATTTGCAGGGGTTTTTTTTCACAATTTTTTGGTAACATTTTGCTAAGTAGATATTACTGTCTATGAAAAATAGTATTACCTAATTAATAGACATAATTAATAGACTGGTGAGTTACTAGCTGAACCAGCCCCCAAAATTGTTATTTGTGGTCCAACCTGGAGAAAATCTCAAACCTTCGCTCCAGTTGCTAGTTCTCTGCTTTAGAAACGTACCATGTTGTCATAGACTACTTTGATATTCTAAATAAAGGTCCTCCTGCTGAGCTGGAAGTATTGGCATTCAGATCCAAGTCCAAATTTATTCAAAGTGGGAATGGAAGAAATCAGGCTGTCTACTTTCAGGAGTAGGTTTGGCAAAAACATGGATCTGAACCTGTTGTTCTAACTGTGGCCTGGGAATGCTGTCACCGGTAGGGCTGCTTCTTGGACAGATTCCACAGATTTCTGCCTTGTTTGTGTTCCCAGGTGTGATGAGTACGTCACGCAGCTGGATGAGATGCAGAGGCAGCTAGCAGCTGCAGAGGATGAGAAGAAGACCCTAAACTCTCTGTTGCGCATGGCTATCCAGCAAAAACTTGCCCTGACCCAGCGACTGGAGGATTTAGAGTTCGACCATGAGCAGTCCCGACGCAGCAAAGGCAAGCTTGGAAAGAGCAAGATCGGCAGCCCTAAAGTAAGTGAGGAGGCATCAGCCACCGTGCCAAGCATAGACACTTTCCTCCTGCATAGTCAGGGCCCACAGCAACCAAACTTACTGGTCAGCAGTGGCACTCAGAGGAAAAGGTATGCATGCAGTGATCTTTACAGTACAGTGCAGTGGCCAGACTTTCATTAAAGTCGTTCACTGAATTGTAAACATTATAATTATTATTATTTTTTTTCATACTTTGAGTGGGGAGAAGGAGGCGGGGAGGATATGATTATGAAATTCAAAGTCTGGCAACATGTGGTTCTGATCCACCTACTCACTGTGTTATTTCCTCCTCCTTAATGCAGTGTTTTGAACTATATTCTGTCAGTGTCTCAGTGCATCTTGTATGTCTTTGATATTAGTGTGAATGTGTTTTCTTTAACAAGTTTTCCTTAAGTTTTCCTTAAGGTTTTCCATAATGAGCATCTGAATTAAAGAAAAAAAAGGATTGTACTCTATGAGCATTTCAGTGCTTAATACAAGAAACGGCATCTCTTTGTTAAGCTCTGGTGCTCGCTTGTTCTTCATCAATGCAAAAAGAATATGGATGTGTCCACTCAGATCAATTTTTCTGCTTGGGAGCAAGCAACCTTTTGAAGGGGGATGGCTGCCATTCGTAACCTAATGCAAATATTTCGCTGTTCAAGCAGTGAGTTCTCATCTTGTCTTGTGACTGTCCTGCCAAAGCTCTGTAGGTGTGGGGATCTCCACGGTTCTGAAGATGAAAAGGATTCTCTCTCAGAGAAGTCCTAGACAATCATTCCCTTTTCTTGTATGCTTTTCTTGTATGCTTTTCTTGTATGTCACAATGCAAAACCAAGAGAACACTCAGGGAGCCCTGTACATGTCGACTCCAGGATGCTGAGATATAACTCAACCTCCTCTCCTCCTCCCCTAATATGAACCAGGATTTCCAGTGCAGGCAAGGTGCCCTGCTGTGGAAATGACATGGGGTGGCAACACTAGTTGATTTTTACCTGTTAAGAAAATTAACATGATGTTGTCATTCATGAGGCTTTGAAAGGTAATTAAAGTAAAACTCTTTTGTTTCCATATGTATTTTTCTTGGATCTCCTGCAAGACTATTCTCACCTTCCCTTTGTGATCAGAGCCATCCCAGGACTTCAGGGACCTACCTCCAGAAATTATTAAGAGCCCCCCCTCATCCCGCTTCCACAGAATCATATCTTCTGAGGGGCCCCCCTTCCATGAGTGAATTCATCCATGGGCACCGTCTCAGCAAGGAAAAAAGGTTAACCGTGGCCACACCAGGTAAACATTTTTTCCTTGGGTGCATGTGGTGCTGAGTGGTTAGCAGAGCAGGGGACCCTCCCAGTACTGCAGATGCAATCTAATTTGGGCACCTTCTTGAAACCTGAAAAGCAAAATGTCTCCTCCTGTGTCACCCGTGGCAGGAGCCGACATTCTGCCGGCAGCGGCCCAAACTAGTTCCAGATGCAGTGGGGAAAGTCCTGCTGTGATGTAGGTGGGTGCCATCCCGCTGGCATCCACAGAGGCTGCACCCCTGTGCCTGGGTGGTGCCTGGTCTGGTGGTTGTGTTGGTGGTCCCCACAGAAGACACAAACCCAACGGGACAGAGGAATCAGATGTGTGAGGACCAGCGAAGGAGCGATTGGCAGTGTGCAAGGGGCCTACGCAGCATCCGTCTTCTGCTCACCCTGGAGCATTCAACCAGGTTTCTCTAAAGGGTAAAGTTAAACTCACAGAAGCTCTGGTTTATACAAATTGAGTCATGAAGTTTATCTTTGCAGGAAGCTTTTGCTCTTCATTTCCTGCCAAAATGTAGTATCTGCTTCAAACAAGGCGTAGAAAGGAAATGCAAACTGGAATGCCATTTCAAAGGTTGTGACATATTCTCCTGACAGAAAAGCTAAATAATTATTTCTGTGCCTGAGCAGAACCTTTAGCCTTTAAATGTGCACACTCTTGTCTGGTGGCAATTTTTTTCATTGTTTTGAAATGTGTTACACAAAAAGCATAAGTAGAAAATATGAAAGCTAAAACCCATAAAATGGTTTCTGCTCAAGTAAATGTTTATTCTGGAAAGCTGAGCAATACCTTATAGTACATTACATCTCTCACTCAGTGCCAGCAATATCGCAGCCGCCTTTGAGTAGTGCCATGCAAGTAACACCCACTCAGAGGACAAGTGTAAAACTGCAGAGAGTCTAAACAAGACATTTTCCTAAGGAGTGTTGCAGTAAATAAATAAAAGAGCTGGCTCCTAGGAGAAGACGACGGAGAGAGGGAAAGAAACAAAGACTTTAAAATATATAAAATAAATGGCCCTGATCTTTCAGCAATTTCTTTGTATTTGGTTTGCAATGGAAGATTATGTGCTCATTTTCTACCCCACAGACAGGAATCTGTTTCCTAAACGCTGGCAATGTCTCTTGTATTCTTTCCTCTTCATCCTACAACAGAATAAGGATGATTTTCTTTCTGACAAACACTTACATCTCTTTAAAGAACTAGATTTTGCATTTTCTGTATAGCCAAACTCCCCGGTTTGGAAATGTGAGGATCTAGGCCCCAAACTGGCAATCTTCTAATGTAAAATTTACAAGAGTCTTCTAACTGTACTTGTACTTCCCATGGACAATTTACAAGAGTGCCAGGCCAAGCAGAAGCAGATTGAAATCCAAGGACTGGATGACCTTTGTGTGAAGAACCCTCACTGTATATGGAAAATGCAGTTTAATGGTTGGAGGGAGTAGTGATTTAAAAAAGAACTGTGCTCAACAGATAAGCAAACACAACTTACTGTATTGCAAAATTGTTAGTAAACTAGTAAAATGTGATTTTGAATTGGGGCTCTGGGTCCTGAGTGCCTTCGTACATTAATTTTTTTCCCCACTATTTTCATGGACCAGCATCTGAGATCTCATGGAGCATCAGAGATGCATGGACCACAGACTGAGAAACACTGACACAGTCTCTAATTTTTCCCCATAATAGAGGACAAAGGATGAAGCAGCCTGAAAAGTAGAATTTTCCAGAAAATAATGTTCATCTGGAGTCTTACCTGGCACTTTAGGTATATCTCTACGTACTCAGAACATAAGGGTCTTGAGACAGCATTAGTAATTTATGTTACAGTTGTCCTCATGAATCTACAGCAGTTCCAGCTTTCTGAAGGCATTTGTCAGAATTTTCTGCCATCACATGGCCTTAGTCTTAGCCTGTGAGACTGACAGGTTCAAACCAGAGATCTTTCTGAGTGCTCAGATTCCAGTACTAGCAGGGTCTGTGTTAGAATCAGGTTGAGGATTAGGTAGGGAATTTTTCGGTGTTGTTCTTGCCAGTTTCTGGAAGATTTCTTACTGTTGTTAACAGATTAAAGGAATGATGCACTAAGTACGATCTTTTTGCCATCTGTCTAATTGTCTGTTTCCTGAAAGAAAGGAGAACAGTGAAGGATGTTATTCTGCTGCTTTTATAGAAAATGTTTAAAAGCCATGTATCAGAAAGAGTTTCTTTTCTCAGATGATTTGTGCAGTCAAGCAAGCCAGCAAGAAATGTACCAACCCACACCTGCTTCTTCATCAGAGAGGATGCAAAAGAGCAGCATCCAAATTCAAACACTATGGAGCAGAGTATAGCTTGGCTTGAGGCTGTCTTCTCAGGATTGGAGTAAGAATTATTCAAGCCTAAATTAAATGGAATCAGGTTTTGATTGGGTGTTTTTTTCCTTTTTTTTGGTTATTTTTCTTTTAGATTTGTGAATTATTTCCTTCACATTAGTATTTCATCATGCGATGTACAGGCTTCCCTACCCTTTCATTAGATCCAAGCGTTGTGGGGACTGTAGCTGGGAAGGCATCTGATGGAGACCAAGACCCAAAATAACTGAAATTGGCAGAGGGAGAAATCAGAAAGGCACCCCTGCCCCATGATCCCCATGCAATAGGCAAGCTGTGCCTGTCTTTCTCTTGCACTTTCTTCTGGACTTATTGGTGCTTGACAGAAGAGGCTGCCTTCACCATGCTCTGGCCACAGCTTTGGTTGCTGCTGGCTTCTTGGAAGGGAAAACCTGGGATTACTTTTTGCTACCTTCTTCAGAGGAAGACCCTGGCCTGAAGACTCACTAGTAAAGACCAGCTGAATTAAAGACCTCTCAAAAAAGAGGTTTGTCATGTCCTACATGGTTTCCATTTAACTGCTCTCAACTTTAAATCAGCGTGCACATCCCTCTGACATCAAGCTGTGACAGTATAAATTGATCTGGGCTTTCTAACTGAAGGAGTAGCTCCTAACCACTGTGGCTAAAAATACCACTCAGTCCATTTCCAAAGTATCAAGTTTCATTTCCTCTAGCATTTAGCTTTTCTGTGTGATTCTTCTTTTCTTCTGTTATTTTCTATTATTTAGAAATTCTATTATTTTTACACTGTAAAGTCTTTCTTCTGGCAGACAGACAGAACCACCTGGCATGTGCCCAACACAATTCCAGCCCATTTCTGCATGTGGCTGTTTTCCTAACTACATGGAGTCAGGGTATACAGAAAGCCCAAGCCTGGATTTTACGGTGTGTAACACTGTATTAGAATGACCTTCCCTGTGCAATTGCATTCAAACTCCTTGAATATAAAGTCACTAGATGCCCCTTAATATCCCACAGTCCCAGATAGGAAATATGCTTCTCTTGATTTCTTCAAGGAAAGAAAAAGTCAGAAAAAGTTTGCTGTAGGTGCCCTGTTACCATTTTTTTCTCAGTTATTTTAGCATGGAAATTCTAGAAGTTGGATGCAAAGTTTTGGCTTAAAATTAAGTTAATTAAGATCCTTGTGTGGATGGTGCACCTGAAGAAAAGAGCTTCCCTACATGCCTATGAGATGGAGAGTAACTAATGGCTGCAGTGGTCTCTCTTAAACAGGGCTGGTTAAAGGGGCAACTACGATCCACCTGTGAGTCTCTCCTTCTTTGAAACACCCCCTGAACAAACTGTGGTAGATGCTTCT